TCCTGAGTTCACGAGACTATCTCCAACAATATTACCTAAAATACAAGATCCGTTCCACATTTAGATGACGACAGCAAGATCCAAAAGAGAACCCTTTCTACAAATGAGTCTCCAGTAGAGAGGATACTCATATTTGAGTTATACCTTTGCTGTAATCCAAAATAAATCTCACGTATAGGTACCATCGGAGACCCATTTTAGATTTGGGTGTCCAAATTAGTCATCCATCGGAGACCGTCTGAGTACAGAAGTTTACAAGTTGTGCTGACTGCTGAGTCCAATCAGTAGTGCTGCGTGGCACAGACTCTCTGCAGTCTAGTACTCTAGTACTACTCATCATCACCGAATACAACGATTTTGGCCAATGATCGCAGAGGCTCGTGGTATGCAACGTGATTACGTGAGAGATCAGATACCGCTCGAAACTACCGACCACGAACGAGAAAAAAGTAATGATTTTCTTGAAGGCGGAGCTAACGCGCCTCCCGCACGACGGTGCGCCGAAGAACACGGCCAACCAAGGCCCTGTGATCGATCCCAACCATCATGTGCTGTGTGATCCAGACAGCACGGGGGGATCTATGATACCCCGTATCTCACTTGCCTCGCCCCGTCGCCCCCGCGCTAATCGTGCGCCCGCGGCACAACATCAGCATGTTTGTTTGGCTGTGGCGTATCGTAAAAGATCGTAAATTTTTATCTAGAATAGTATTTTTCTCTCACACAAACCAGCCAGCCCCAGAACAGGCTGAGGGTTCTCGACGCGGCGCGACGTCTCGTCACGCGCCGCGGTTCGTCCAGGTCCATCCGTCCAGAGGCAGAGGCGCCGCGCGCGCGCGCGTCCGGATTCTCTGGGTCGGTGGAGGTGTCGTTTTGCCGGTAGCCTCATGCTTCGGGTTCTCCCGCGCTCTGAAGTTGACGGCTCGGCAAAGGGACACAACGCCGGTGCCGAGTCACGCATACTACGCCGCAATGCCGCACCCGTAAAGAAATCGCAAAACCCTTTTTTTTTTAAATTTCCCTCTTCATTTGTGTTCGTGCAGTCGGTGCTGTGTCTCAATTTGACAGCTACACCGTCATTAATTGATTGATTGATGAAACATGGGAGCCAGGTCAGGTCAGACCAGGTGTTTTTATTTCTCGTTGGTTGGCTTATCAGGCATGTCGCGCGTATTGTTATTGTATATACGTGACCAGATACAGACAGTACTGGCTAAAGCTTGGTGCTTATCAGATGGATCAGGAGTTGGCACCACCTGTTCATTATCCCCCGCTAAAACTCTGAAGGGCTGCTTGACACGACCTCATCAGAACGGCCCCCTTTTCTTTCAAGTGAGGAGAGAGAGAGAGAGGCCACAAGTGTTGTCAAGGCCCCAGCCCCCCAGGGGATTTTTTTTTGTCGATGAAACATGCGTCGATAATAATTGCAATTCTTTTTTGGGGTTTAATTAGCCAGATAGGCCTGTCGGAAACCAATTGACTGGGTTGATCCCTCCGGGAAAAATAAATAAAGAAAAAAACAATTGACTAGACCATTATTAAGGGAGGAATAATCTGAGGTCAATGAGGAGCAATTATTCAAAACCATTTCCCTGCCCTTTGGGCGGTCAGATAGGACAGATAACTCCTTTTGTCGGCAAAGGAGGAGAGCCACATATCACTATATCAGCGAGCTTATGGCTCAATTTGGAGAGCCAAATTGTAGGTAGGGCAACTCTTGGTGGCACAAAAGGAGGAAATAGAATTTGCCGCTTCTAACTTGATAAAAGAAACGCACTAGGAACACTTCTGTTTTTTCTCTCTCCCGTGTTTCCGAGCATGGAAACTTTCCTCACAAAAATTAGTTACTTCAAATGGTCATGGTTCAGCATACAAGGGACATTGTGATAGCATAACGCGATTATCAGTAGTAATAAGTGGTCAGAGTCATGAGATGGCCTCCGGTTCTCCACGACCTCCGGGCGCCAAATATCTCAGGTCCCATCAAGTTTGACGGCGACAGTTTCCGCTCCCAAGCCATAAACGATCGTGTATTATTTACTGCTGGCTGATTTGACGTGAGAGAAAAATACTATTCCAGCTTATAATCCACAATCGTATAAAGCAAGCGAACAGCCCGATACTGTTTCCTCAGCTCTTTCTGAATTCTGATTTCTGATGGGAAACCAGGCCAACTCAAACAACACAAGAAAATGGCAAAAGAAAGTGTGCGCCTGAGCTGAATTGCCCTACCGAGCCCAATCATGCAGTATATAGGCCTGGGCCAAGCTCTAAATTTTCAGAACAATACGCACATTGGTTTAGAGCAGGCCTGCTCTAGCTGTGTCTGGTATTCAATAGAAAAAGTCTACTTTGCATCGCTCAACTATCATGAGCCCGTTCGGCTGGCTTTAAGCCAGCTGGCTGGCTGGTTCTCGTCCTCACGAAATCACTGTTCATATCCTGTTAGAACAGTATTTTTCTCTCACAACAATCAGCCGGAACAGTATTTTTCAGTCCTGCCGAACAGGCCCCATAAAAGTTAGCTTTTCCTCCATAAACTAGAAAACTGGATATAACTCCTCCCTATCTTTTCAAACCGGACATATGACCTCCCTGGCTGTTTCTCTATGTGTTTTTTCTTTTATATTTATTTTGGCTAAATCTTTGAAAAATCATAGTAAATTACAGAAAAAATATAAAATGGAAAATCCAATTTTGTTGGACTCCCCATGAATAGACCTACATAGTAAACATATGATATGGTGTGCTTTAGTATAAATTTTTTCTCTAACTTTAGATCTATGCTTTTCTATGATTAATTCATAGCTACAGTTTCTATGGTCCTATTGTGGTGAAATTTTTATGGTGGAATAATCATTGTATGCTTAAGATGTAGTAAAAATTTAATGCTCATTGGATCATGTATGACTGAGTTATAGACTTATTCAGGTTTATGCTTATTAAATAGTTTAAAATAATTAAAAGTGTGTAAAAATAGAAAATGTATGTTTTCGGTGTAATTTTTTCCGTGACAACATGATTATGTTAATTGTTCATACCATATAACAATAGTAATGTTACATAGGGAACACATAATTTCTATTTTTACACACTTTTAACTATTTCATAAGCATAAACTTGAATAAATCTATAATTCAGTCATACATGATTCAATGAGCATGAAATTTTTACTACATCTCAATGATACAATGATTAGTTCACCATAAAAATTTCACCACAATAGGACCACATAAACTACAGCTATGAATTAATCATAAAAAAACATAGATCTGAAGCTAGAGCAAAAATTTTGTACTAAAGCACACTATATCAAATGTTTAATGTGTAGGTCTACTCACGTGGAGTCCAAAAAAATAGATTTTCTCTTTTATGATTTTTTGGTAATTACTATGATTTTTTCAAAGATTCAGCCGAAACAAATATAAAAGAGAAAGAGAAAAAACACCTAGAGAAATAGCCAAGGAGTTCATATGTTCAGTTTGGAAATATGTGAGAGGAGTTATATCCGGTTTTCTAGTTCAGGGAGAAAAAACCGACTTTTATGATAGTTGAGGGAGCCAAAGTAGACTTTTTTCTATTCAATACGGCAAGTGGGACGCAATCTAAACTGCATTACAAATCCGGAAGGAAAGCATAACACAAAACGGAAATAGATAATGATACACGCTGCGTTCCGAAATACACGTGTCGTCTGAGCGCCGTTACAGCCGCCCCCACATGTCCTCTGCGTTGTCGCCGCGCCCCACCCTGCCCTCTGCTTGCCACAGTCTGCCAAGCTCCGCGTGCCGATAAGCCTCTATTCGCCCAAGCAGGAAATGTTGCTATGAAAAGTCCATGCTGCAAACCTATCTTTCAAATGTTTGTGTTTCGAGCGCTTGTTGCAGGTGCTTCAGACGTATGTTGTAGGTGTTGTGTTGCAAGGAGATGTTGCTAAGAAAGCCTACATTTCAATTGTATCAAGTGTTTCGAGAGCATGTTGCAGGTGCTGTATTTACGGATGTAGCAACAACGATATTATACATGTTTCAACAGTAATCTAGGCATGTTTCCTTAGTACATCGCTGATGTTGCAACAATGATAATGTACATGTGTCAATAGTAATCCGGACACGTTTCATTATTACGTCGTCAATGTTGCAGTGGTGGGCCCCAAGGGCGTCTGTGCGGAAGCCAACATCCACTGCGCGCCACCGCCACCGCCGCCCCCACCCGTCCTCTGCGTCGTCGTCGCGCGCCCACCTCATCCTCTGCGCGCCGCTATCGCCCTTCCCGTCCCGTTCTCTATGCCGTCGCCGCATCCCATCCTGCCCCTCTACGCATCGTCGTCCAACTCCGTGCGGCGCCGCCTTCTGCGCGCCGTAGAGCTCCCCGTCACCGGCGAGCTCCACTTTGCCGCCGAGATCTGCGTCCGGACGCTCCGTCCTGAAACGCGCGTGCTCCTGTCCTCTGCGCACTGCTTCCGCGCCCCACCCATCCTCTGCGCCGTCGCCGGCCCCAAGGGGAAACAGAGCAGCTGCGGGGCGTCTAGACGCGGGTGTCCGTCCGGGCCCTAGTCGCTCCGAAGGAAGTCAGTAGACTCCTATAGAGGAGCAACCGACTCAGAAATCAGAAAGTTTGAAATCTTTCAATTGAAACATTTCTTTCTTCGTACTGGGCAGTGCATGTGATTTCGGCCAAATTTCAGTGTTCAGAACCCAGCGCCAAACAAAAGGGAAAAGTGGTTGAGTTCAAACCCAGTGGCTACCTCTTCACAATTTCAAGAGAGTCTTACAAGCCAGCAACTTTATATTTGCTTACAGCAATATAATTCCGCTGTAGAATAGCCTTACAAGATGCATCTATAAGAGCAGATGCAAGATAATCCCGCTTTCATACCGGCAGATACTAAGGTTGTTTACCTCAAACTTTCGCATACAGATAGAGAAAGTTGACCTGAAATTATAATTGCTGCCTGTAGCAGCTTATGACAAAACGACATGCAGTAGTAGTATAAGTTCTCAGTGACGCTTGAAGAATTCCACCATGGGCTTGTATATGAGTTGTGGAGCATTGTAGCCCATGACAAAGTCGCCGTGCGCATAGTCAGGCATGTACAGCACCTCAATGTCATCGCTGTCATGCTCCCTGATGATCGTCCGCAGGAGGTGCCTCGTGTCAGGGACGTCGCCGAGGAAATCTTGGCCGCCATGGGCGAGGAACAAGGGGACATGCCGCGGGATGGACGAGAGGTCGTATGGCGGGGGCCGTGTCTGATTGTAGTGCTTCATGTTCTCCTTCTTGTTTCCATAATCGTACTTTCTGATCGATGATTTCCTGACCACTTGTGACACATAATTTTTTTTACATAAGCAGCTGGGCTCTTTGTTTGGGCGACAGATTCCTTCGTCTGTGATAAAGGTTCTTACGCTGCGACATGTGAATCATGTTTTTGACAGAGGTTGACTGTGGACCGTGCTGCAGGAAGATGCATGTAGTCGAAGCATTGAGGCAGCAGTCCGGTCCTTCCGTCAGGAGATCAAATTCATAAAAGCCACAGTCAGTATGATCACAGCCAAAGCATTAGCGTTTTATATACTTGTTTGGAGTGAATTAACTAAGGTGGAGTGGAGGTAACACTGTTACCTGCTACAGATGAAAATAAATCATAACAGTCGACGTCTGGGTCGACGCAGACTTCTCCTAACAGTTCTTGTGCAACTCGCCTGTCATGCAGCAGAACATTTGTAGCAATCAACTTTTCTAGGCTGCGCTAGTATTATGTGCATTTATCTTCTTCCTGATAAGAAACACAAGAAGTTGTAGAAGAGATGCCTACCCAAGAGGATTGAACTCGTGATAACCTAGCATGTGAATTGTCTGCATGATACAGAAACATAGATATAAAACATTGAACATGGCCATTCTAATTTCTAATCAACAACAATAAGAATAAAGGGTTTCGTTCTACACTGCTTTACTTCTGCAAGGAAGATTCGAGCCGCAAGCAAGATGAGCCTTGATTTCATCCTGTTCAGATAAGCAATTGGGCAGAGCAACGCTGCTGATCGCACTACGTCTGTTAACTTTTTATCTGAGAGGGCTGCAAGCATAATCAAGGTCCCCTAGAAAAAGAGCAAAAGTTTCAGCATCCTCTCCCAGTCCCAAAGACCCAAGTCCATGGTATACTAAATAATAAGGCCATATGCATGATTACCAGGGGAGTGACCAATATAGTGGACTTTCTGGCCTCCTGTTTTGTTATAGACAAACTGAAGTACAGCAGGAAGATCATAATCAGCAAGTTGGTCCCATGTCCAGTCCCAAAAAAGCCTGCAAAGAAGAGAACCAGTATTGTTTTAGTGAAATATCTTGACATACGGTTTCTTGATCAAATTCAAGCCAGATATGCGAACGTAACCGGGTCTTCTGGAGAGAGGGTGGTATGTCTGCGACTGGACTTTGTTCCACGACAGTTGGCGATCCAAACATCAAACCCACCATCAGCCAAAATGAAGCCTAGTGATTGTTTTGGTGTACTCAGTACCCAACAGAAACCATCCTGTCCAATCAGCAAATTCATATTTTTTTTTCAGCTGTGAACAGGATTTGAATCACATGTGTTATGTTCAACAATGTGCTTACCACCAGCAGCCCATGGAATAGTAGTACTGGTGTCCTTGTATCCTCAGTGGAGTTACTAGTAGCATTAGAAAGACCATGGGGGATCCTCTTTAAGCTAAGAATATAGCCATCCTCTGTTGTTACATGATATTCTTCACATGGATAGCCATAAGCTGCTACTCGTGATTTGCACATACCAAAAGGGTGGGGTTGTGGGGGGCATTGATCATTAATATCATTTGTAGAATTCTGCATCCTCCATGAGAGAACACTTTGCAGGTTCAAGGCACTGAAAAGAATCAGGGAGAGTAGATAGAGATCCTGAGCCATCTCTGTTGAGAACTATGATTTTTGGCACTAGAACTGAAACTTCTTCTGTCAAACCATGAACGGGACTACAGGATATATAAGCTATATTTTTGTGTGCTTACAAGAATAGTGGGGTGGGGGGCAGCTGCAGGGATGGCCTCTGAATGACACTGAGTTTGTAGCTTCATCACTGACTTGTAAGGAACACAAATTTATAGAACAGGCCGTGCTTTGTATGGGAGTTTCGTTTCTACTTATTGGTTATTCATAAAAGCTGTAGGGTGGGCATATGCGAATTGCAAAACCTTGTAAAGCCCACCCGTCTTGTGCTCAAACTCGTTTTTCTACCTTAATACAAAGATGCACAAATCTTTTGCGTGATCAATAAAAAACTTATTGGTTATTGTTTTCTCTCAGAGAAACATGATCATGAGAAAATAATCTATCACCGTAGATCTTGTATGTATTGAATGTGAGATTGATTGAATAACCATGAGCTAATCAGGTGAAAAAAAACAGAAGTAGTTGTCAACTGTCATAATTCAATCATGTCATCTTGATGATGAGAATGAATAGGCCGTAGGTCTCACTTCACAACAATTCTGTGATCCCAAGTTCTGTTCAAGACCACTAGGAATGTTGTAGACGAAAAGGTAACATTATCTATTTGTACCAGGGCAACTTATTTGCAAACAGATGTCCCGGAACCCTGATATATGCCAAATTCATTAGTTATATGCATGAGCACTACATGAGATATATACTAGGATATCCGTATGCAATCCTAAGGGCGTGCAGAAAGTTACAGAAGTATATCTTTGTCGAACAAAAACGAGAACAATCTGAGTTTGGTTGGGCCTATTTGGCAACTTAGTATTTTTTTTACAAATAAAATTTTAAGTGCATATAATTTCTTGTGCACTATAAAACGTACTCCCTCCATCCAAAATAGATGACCTACTCATTGAGGGACATTTTGGTCTTTTGCCTTCTGCGCGGGTCTTCCTGAAGGATTTTAAGCGTGTGCTTGGTTTGGGGATTACGGAGGATAGGATGGCCCATCCCTATTTTCTAGGTTGAGTCAGTCCAAGCCATCAGTCTCCTTATCTTCTTTTCCTTATCTTCCCTCCTTTGTAATCGATGCTTGACCGTGAGGGTTCACCGACAGCCAAGTCGAATCGAAATTTTAATTTGCCATCTTTGCTGACCCACTGCAATTTCTCATCACCTGTGATGCAAATTGCAAGCTCCACCGTGTCCTTGCCATCACCACAGCTTGTTGCATGCTGCACAGGCTCGATGTCAATCCAGTCCGGCAATAAGCATAGATTCAAGCTGCGAATAACACAGATTGCGGCCAGAATTAAGCCTATGCTAGGAATTGAGCCATAGGAATCGAGATCCAGTCTAAGCTGCGAACAACATAGATTCCCATCAAACGACTCTAGTTTTCATCTATTTGCAGTTCCTTGTTTGCGGCTTTATGCTCCGTGGGTCGGTAGTGGAGGTCCACAAGTGCGAAGTTCTATGTGTGCCTGACGTAGATGTCCGCAAGCTCCTCCGGGGTGCCATCGTGGAGCACTGCCATAGGGATGCCAATGAGGAGCGCTGCAGTGCTTGGGAGGTCATCATCGCGGAGACTCCAACGTTGGGGCAGCACTTGGCTATTTTAGCAGCATACTGGGGTGAAGCTGAGTTATGTATGGAGGGTTTGCAAATGCACACTCCAACAATTGCAAAACCAGTGAGTTTGATTAAAATTCCACTATATATGCACACTCTGAGACATATCTATGCACCCACAAACACAACTGTGCCATCTCTAATTTGCTTTAGCTTCGTCATTGGCGGCATAGGCAGGCCTCCAACATTCGAAGAATTTGCCAAAAACTCTAGAATTTATAGCATAAGCAAATTAAGATTAATTATGTTGAAGAAGCAAGGCAAATAATTGGTTTCTAAAAAAACCATGCACAAGAATCAGCTTGATTTATCTCTTATCTATGTAGCAAAGCAATCCCATGGCGCCCAGCTGGCGGCTGATCCAGCAGGATGGCCTTACACCGTCGGTCACCACTACTCCACGGCTTCAAACCCATGATGGCTCGACATCGGTGCACGGAACACCACGACATCGCCACCGGCAAGCACGACGTAATGGAGCCTTCCCACGAAGAAGCCGATCTCCGAGTACTGTTCCGAGGCACACCGCCACTAATGAATACCTAACACCGGGGTTCCGTAAACCCCTGGATTAGCACCATAATAGGGTAGTTAACCCCTGGATTAGCACCATAATAGGGTAGTTAACCCCTTGACCGCTTCTCCTAATTGGCTAGGGGTTGGTAGGGCTACACCTAGCAGGTGCACTCGTGCGTCCTCGCTAGATCCCGACCAGACCCCATGAGGCCCAAGCCTCCATTGCCTGGGGGCTCTGGTTGAGCGAGTTAGCTTGGTAGTAGGGCTAAAGCCTAGGTAGCCTAGGCCCTCATCGGCCGAGTCCCCCATGAATGGGGCTCGACAGGCTAGCTTGGACAGATGCTTTGGAGTCCTCGATAGGACCCTACAACACAACAGGACCCTGACACCTACGCAAAGGCACAATGTGCTGAGCTTTAATTTGTCAGGGCGTTGTTTCCTCCACCTTAATGTGGAGTTGTTCGCCTATTTTGATGAGGGGTAACGCCCGGGGCGTGACATAAGGCGACAATCGAGGCGCTAGACCCACTTGTTAGCCTCCTCATGCTTCGTCTCCCTTAGCATGCAAGGAACGCCAAAGGGCAAGCAAGCCAAGGATGGGTGAAACACATGACCTTACACTACCATATGCAAAAAGCTGTCATGGGTGGTTTCTGCATTGTAGGCCATGACCATGCCCGGAGTAGTGGTCTCTCCAACAGGTCAAAGATGAAGATGATGAATCTTGGAGCACTCCCTTGGTGATCAAGGAACCTATACAAAACCCCAATTTGTATGCCCTTTGCCCTTTGGAGATATAAGGATGGGAAAAGGCAGTCTTAGAAACAATGACTCCTAGAATCAGATTCGATTCAATATCCTTGATCTCAGTGGACTCATTCAAAACCCTAGATCAGAGCTAGCAATACGCTATCCTACTCTCTCTATAGCATCAAGAACTCGCTGCTGGACATAGGGCTTTCAAGCCCTAACTAGGATAGACCTTCCCATGTCTTGAGTGCTAACCACTAAAAGTTCCACACATAGCCATGGTTATGAAACCATGATAGTTGGTGCATCATGTGTGTTCACCGATCTTTAGTGGCCCACATCGTCACCGCCACCGGAGTTGGAGGTGCCACCCGTGTGGGTAGCATTCGCTACTTCGACGAGGCCTTCTCCGCTGGCACCACCTTCCTCTCTAGCCAATCTTTCAACTTTGGGAGCCTAGACTACGTTGTCGATCACTGTAGTGAGCTTTGCCTCCATAGTGGAGCGGTGTCCCATGACACCATCGAGCTGAAGAGGCGCGCCTGAGCAAAATCTCCACCGCCACACCATGTGGAGTTCCCGCAACCCAATATTCTAGGGGACCATCCAAACAGTCCACGACTATATATGTAAGAAGCCTCTTACGTAGTAAGATGCCTCTTCTATGAACACACCTCTATCACATTGCACAATATTTTTTGTGCCTTCGGCAACAAGTAGCTACATTGACCTTAGCAACTACATGTCGGCTACCTCAACATCGACAACTATGTAGTGACTCTAGTCATAGTGTTTGTGTCATCTCTCTCATCCATGACACTCCCACTATCAGCCTGTTCGGGAGGCCGTATCGTATCGTGGATTATTTACTGCTGGCTGGTTTGGTGTGAGAGAAAAATACTGTTCCCGGCTGAAAATTTACGATCGTTTACAAGCAAGCGAACAGGCTGTATGATTGTGGGATGAAATATAGCAGTGAGGGAAGGGACAGTACCAGAAGAGGACATCAACGCCGCCCTAGGTGTTAGACCATCCATTAGAGATGCAGTTGATGATGGAGAGGCAGAGAAGATGGTGGAAGCATAGGACTTCAAGTCAAACTCCAACCATCCACTTCACTCCTACTATGACAGAGGGGGAATGCTAGAAGTAAAGATATATATGGTTAGAGATAGTTGGAGATGTATACAAACCCTAGAGATAAAGATAGAATGCTAGAGATAGAATAGGGTTAGGCCTAATATAACTTGGCTTGTACTCTTAGTCTCTCCTCATACGTACCTATAAATACCTCCTGAGGATCAATGCAATCAACAACAGATTATTAGGGTTTTCACCATACCTAATATTTTCCACACACACAATCCCTATTTAACTAGGTCTAAGGAAAAATAAGTTATATGGTATCATTTCCTACTGAAATTATACTTTTGTTTTCCATTTCAAAGGAAAGGTTTAAGTTCTCTACTTTTTAACTAAATGCATAGATAGAGGCTAATCGAAAGCAAATAGTCATTTGCTCCATCTCTAAGAACAAACCATCTATCGCTTTCTAGCTTCTTCAGTTTGCATTTTGTTCCCTCCAGCCAAAGAAACAAAAGTTAGTGATAATCCATTATTTCCAAAGAAGAAAGCTAGCAACCCTCACCAATTAAATGCGGCTAAGAAACATTAGACTATATGGACAAGTAACTCTAAAGCACAAGTGAACAAAACAAGATGATAGTGTGGAAACTTGCCTACTTCCTATTCTGGTATGCATATGATTATGTATAGCAAAGTTAAGAAAAGTGAATTCAAGAAGTGAATCATTGTGAACCTAATGTTTTTCTATGGTTTAACTCCATACTACTTTATCAAGATTAATAACTTTTTATGATAAAAAATCCATATTTATATTCCTTGTTTTGGGATTCTCACTTAAGAGTTAATACATCATCATGTTCTATTGTTTTGCCCTTTCTGCTAGTTGGCACCTTAGTAGGTTTTGGGCTTTGAGTAAATGATCCAATTAATATTCCTTGAACCATAGGTATGTGCATGCCACCCTCCACTAGTTTGGTCATTTATTT